GAATTTATGGTTTTTAAAAAATTCAAACAAACAAAGTTACAAATTACATAATAACAAACATTCACTAAATACAATGCATGAAACTTAATCAGATTCATCTTCCTCTATTACTTCATCACTATCACCGTCTTCTTCCGAAAAATTGTCATCATCGGTTTCAGCAAACTCATCATCACCTTCTTCTTTTGTATCATCGGGAAGATCTTCAAGTTGCCTGTTCCGAGGTTCTATTAAGAAAATCTCCTCATCAACATCTGGTTCAGATAGATCTACGCAAGTGTCCTGTTGAAGTGGAACATCCTCAACCCCTACAATCTTGCCCCTCGGAGCCACTTTAACTACAGCTAACCATGAAATTCATGTTGATCAAACTCGAGGGTATGGCAGAAACGTTACCTGTTCTGCTTGAGAAGCTAATATAAATGGCTCAAACCTGTTGTACCGTCGTGATTTGTTCACGTCAACAACTCCAAACTTGTTTAGACGTACCCCTCGTCCAACAGTTGGATCAAATCAATCACATTTGAAGAGAACAGTTTTCAGCTTTAACAATGCAGGATACTCTACTTCAATTATTTCTTGCACAACTCCATAAAAATCGATTTCACCCCTCACACAAACTCCATAGTTTGTTGTCGCCCGCTTTTACACCGTGTCGGTATGTGTGAAAAACATAGCCCCGAGTGAAATACATTGAGGCTGTAGTTATTTTTGCCATCGGACCTAGTAGTAACTTATGGAACCATGTTGGAAATTCATCCGGATCATTCGGGTCCACCTAATAAGAAAAAAATTCTGCTTTGATTTCTTGATTTCGATATATAGCAAATTAAAGTAGTACTCTTTTAATTAAAGTTTTATACGTACTTGCCCTTTTAACCACTGGGCATAGTGTTGATCTTTACAATCATTGATTTCAGTTTCAGAAACCCCAGATATGCATTCTTTAACCTCATCAACAAATGTGCTGAGAAAAACAACAAATAGTTATTAATACTGACAACTCATATAAAGATATTATTAATTAAAAAGGTACCTTTCATACGATGACAACTCTTCACAATTTAATAGGATATACGTATGTGCACTGTGATAATCTTTTTCATTGGACCACCAAACATCTTTTAGTTTTCCACTAAGACGTCCGATCGGCGAGAATATGTCAGGTACACCTTCAACGGCATAAGTATGGCCAACTCCTCCATCATCATATCGACGAGTAGCTCTTTTGCGTGTTCGTACTTTCGGTGCAAAATAGTATGAAGTGAAGTGTGAAGTCTCTTGCGTTAAGCTTCCCGCCACAATTGAGCCTTCCACTTTAGCTAGGTTTTTGGCTTTACCTTTAAGATGCTTCATGAAACGCTCGAACGGATACATCCACCTGTACTGAACGGGTCCACCGAGCTCTGCTTCGTATGGGAGATGAACAGGAAGATGTTCCATAACATCAAAAAATGATGGTGGGAAGATCTTTTCTAAATTGCACAACAAGATTGGAATATTCAATGCCAGTTGTGATATTACATCAACTGATAATGTTCGTGTACTAAGATCCCGAAAAAAAGCACCAATGCCTCCAATAGCTTCATGGACGTTTTTGGGCAAGAGTTCAGCAAATGCAAATGGAAATAATCGTTGCATAAAGACATGGCAGTCATGGCTTTTCATCCCAGCAAACTTTATCCCCTTCTCAACAGATTTGGAAAGATTAGAGACATACCCATCAGGAAATTTAACGTCAGAAGAAACCCATCTGAACAATGCTGACTTTTGATCTGCACTCAACCGAAATACAGGAACTGGTGCTTTCCCGTTTCTCAGTAGATGCAACTCACTTCTGTTGCATAAATCAGGCAAATCCAATCTTGATTTACCATTGTCTTTTGTTCTTCCCGCTACGTTCATAACTGTATGCATGATGTTATCAAAAAAGTTTTTTTCAATGTGCATGACATCAAGATTGTGTCTGAGCAGATGATCTTTCCAATAAGGTAGTTGCCAGAAGATACTTTTCTTGTGCCAATTATGATGAACTCCATAACTTTCAGGCATATTTGCAGGAGTGTGCCAGTTTCCCCCACGAATTACTGTTTCTTCTGCCCTCCAATGATCTATTTGCGCCTGTATATCAGCTCCTGTTAAATTAACGGGTGGAGGGACACGTACACTTTTGTTCTTCAAAAATAACCTCTTGTTCCTCCGATATGGATGGTTATCCGGTAAAAACCTCCGGTGACAATCAAACTAACAAGTTTTTCTACCATGTTTTAGCTGAAACGCATCAGTTCGATGAAGACAATAAGGACAAGATAGCCTCCCATGTGTAGTCCATCTTGATAGCATACCGTAAGCGGGGAAATCGCTTATTGTCCACATAAGCACAGCCCGCATACTAAAATTTTTCCTCGTAGAACAGTCATATGTACGAACGCCAGTATACCATAACTGATTCAACTCATGTATGAGTGGCTGAAGAAATACATCGAGAGCTCGCTTCGGATGATTTGGACCTGGAACCAAAATACTTAGGAAAAGAAATTCCCTTTGCATGCACAAATCTGGAGGAAGGTTATAAGGAGTTAGGATTACTGGCCATAATGAATATTGTCTACCAGACATACCAAATGGACTAAAACCATCAGTGCACAGACCAAGATAGATATTCCGTTTGAACTTAGCAAAATCTGGGTATACCATATTGAAGTATTTCCATGCCTTTGCATCTGATGGATTAACAACTTCTCCATCTACTTGTGTATGTTCCGCATGCCATCTCATTGATGCAGCTGTCCTTTCAGATTGATAAAGCCGTTTTAACCTATCAGTTATAGGGAGATACCACATACGTTGGTACGGTATCCTTTTACGCCCACCAGTTTGAGGCCTGTATCTTGGTTTATGACAAAATCGACATTCCTCCAGCTGATCATCGTCTTTCCAAAAAATCATACAATTGTCAACACATACATCTATAATCTCAGAAGGTAGACCAAGACTAAAAATCAACTTCTGAATTTCGTAGTATGTTCCCGCTGCCAAGTTATCCTCCGGTAGATACTCCTTCAGAAGATCGGCCCAATCATCCATGCAAACCTCAGCCTTATGATCTGTTTTAATTGACATCATCCTAGCTGCCAACGATAATTTAGACAAGCCTTCTCTACATCCTTCGTAGATTGGCTGATTAGCATTGTCTAACAGATCATCAAATCGTTTGGCATCTACATTAGGTTCCTCAACAGCATTACCGTATGCGTTTCATGAAATGCATCAGTCACCATTTCGTGCATCCTATCATGATCTACACTTTGGTCATATTGTTATTGATTAGGCTGATGACCATAATTCGATTCATCAATATCAATACGACTTTGATAATTACTATTACCACCAGCATTCCCATGAGTATTACTGCCATATCCTTCTCCATGTAGATACCAAACAAAATATTGCGGCATAAACCCTCTATTTAATAAATGCGTCCACACGGTTTTGGTTAGTGTATACCTCGTGTTCTTGCATTTCAAACAAGGACAAAACATCTTCCCACTATCTTTCGTTCTCTCCATATTTGTAGCCTGATACATAAATATTTCTAACCCGTTCTTGAACTCTTCTGTCAACGCCCCATCTGAATCTTTACGCATATACATCCAACTTCTTAGCTCGTATATAGACATCTTGAAAATAAACTCAAAATAATATCTCTTTTTATTGATTAGACAATAAAGGAGGTGGTCTCTTGTGTCACATCTAGCCACGTGAATGAAGTAAATTAACCTTATAATATTATTACTTCTTTGATTCAAAGTAATATAACTCTTAATTCGGGTTTTCAGCAATGGACAACCCAATATATAAAGATTTACAACACTATACTAAAATTTAAGAGACCTACAATGGGTCTCCAAGATGAAGATGCTCTTATGTTTGAATGATGATGTGTTGTGATTGAATGAAGGAATGAAGATCTATTTATAGGAAAATTTCGGGCTTTACAACGCTTTTACGACGACTTTTTACGACGGTTTTACATTCAACAATAATATTACGACGAGTTTACGACGATTTTGCGATAAAATTTTTCATCTACAATTGTTAGGTAAACATGTTTTAAATGTTTTTCACCTAACTCCTTTTTCGACGTACAATCGTCGTAATATGTACATCGAAATGTAGTCGTCGTATTTTTGTCGTAATTTTGCGACGAATTTACGACGGTTTTACATTTACTAGCAAATCTCTCGTTATTGATGTATAATCGTCGTAATTCGTCGTAAATTGTACGTCGAGTTTACGACGATTTTTATATACGACGGTTTTACGACGGTTTTTAAATTAGATGTAAGATCGTCGTAAAATCGTTGTAAATTTGCGACGATTTAAAAATTGTCGTAATGGACCGTTGGAAAACGATTGTTTTCTTGTAGTGTCGTTTCAATTCATTATGATAAAAATAAAAATAAAAAGGATATATTATATCATATGAGCCGTCAGGTAACTGGATCCAACCCCTTGAAAAGAACGAATCTTTATAATGCTGGCTTGGCTTATGCATGTATTATGTATATGTATACACACACCTTAAGCCAAAACTAATGATCAATTTATCGTCATTAATACGTATAACGACGGAACTTTTTTTTATAAAAACCGTTAGCAATGTTTTAAACCGGCTTCTTTTACATTTTGACCTGAATCTATTAAATCGACAGCCGTGGATAATATCAGGAATAAAAAAACCCTTAACCTTGTCACTGATTTGACGGTGCTATTTGCAAGTTAAATCATACTAAATTACCTATGGAAAAAAATGTATTATGTAGGATCTACAAATAGTTGTCTTGTCGTTGCTTAATTCTGTTTTTTTTAATTGCTGTTTTCTTTCGTCGACAATCCGTCCCGGGTTTATCGATCAGAAAAAAACATAATTTAAAAACAAGACCAAAAATAAAATAAAAATCTGAAGAAGATCATTTGTGTTTTTTCGGTAAATATAAAATGCCCATCTCTCATCTCTTATTTTCTCTCACGAAAAATATCAGTTTCTCTCTCTCTCTTTACAACAAGCTCCATGCCTCAAGTCGATCTCGAAGGCTTTGTTTCTTCAGTATGCGCCGGTTGCTCAGACCGAAAGATCGCATCCGAGTCAACACTCGACGACGATCAGACCACCTTACCTTACAATAACTCCGCCGTGAGCCCGAGTGATTTCCCGCCGGAATCTTACTTCTTATCAAAAGATGATCAGCTCGAGTGGCTCAGCGACAACGCCTTCTTCGACCGCAAAGACTCACATAGAGGAGGAAACTCATCAGCGAATATCAATTCAAATCCAAACTCAAATCCAAGCTCTCAACGGTTCTTGCTGAAACCAAAGGCGTCGATCATCGGTTTACCTAAACCGCAGAAAACGTGTTTCAACGAGGCCAAGCAGCGGAGAAACGGCGGAAGAATCGATCATAATAATAACCGGGTCTTCTTGAAACGGGTCGGGTCAGGAACAAAGTCGGATCTTTCTCTGCTCGAGCCTTCTTCTCCTAATGTCTCTTGCATCGGTAGAGTGAGATCCAAAAGTGAACGAAGCCGCCGGATGCGCCGTCAAAAATCGGGTCGACCCGAGAAGGCAAACCGGGTCAAGAAACCAGGTTTTTTGGCGAGTTTCAGAGCCATCTTCAGGACCAGGGGCGGCTGCAAAGACGTGTCGTCGTCGCGTGGGGCACACGATATCAGGAGCCGGCTTCCACCGGAAAAAGTTGAACCGGTGGTTCCCGGTTTAGGAGGGATGAACCGGTTCGCTTCTGGAAGAAGAGCGGATTTGTTGGGTGGATGATGACGTGGCGTGACAAGTGTAAAATTTGGCGGGTCCAGTTATATAGTGTTTCAAGTCCCAGGGGGAAAGTAGGATTAGTAGTGTGATTGGTTGTCTTGTCTGAGTTTTGGTGGGACCCGTTTTTTTTAGCTGTTGTTGTGTTTTGAAAAGTCGCTGGCGCTTACGTGGCAATTCAGTAACGTTTTTTCAAAAACACGGCTACGCTAAAGCGCCCCCACCGTTTTGTACTTATCTATGGCCCCAATCTTTTTAGTTAAGACTTTTTCTTGTTTTCGTTGTAAATAGTTAAGGAAGATATATTTGTATTTATGTTTTCTTTTTTCAATCATGGTTTTTTTTTTTGGAATGTAAGAATGATTGATGTTTAAGTATTTTTGAGAGTTCAGTTTCCTATATGTATAAAACCATATTTCTTCAAGTATTTTTGTTTTTTAGGTAGCTTAGTAGCTGTATCATTGAGAGTAATGAAGATTATTAGATTTAACATAAATTTCTTCAAAAAAAATTTTCAGCACGTCAATTTTTTTGTAAAGGAAAACATCCAATGAAATTGGCAATGCCATAACATTGAAATTAAAAAATACAAATTCGAAACCGAAGCCAAAAATAATAAGAAGAAGATAAAGAAATCGAGTAGGAAAGAAAGAAAAGTAAAAAGAAAGAAGAGAAACAAAAACGAATAAAAACTAAATAATTTTGTGTTTAATAAATTCTAAGCAAGGAAGAAAAGACGTATTTTTATTTGTAAGAGCTGATACTTTATGAAATATATATTTTGATTATCTACAGAATGTTTATGAAATATTTTATTGATGTTTTTGTTTGTGGTTTTTTCTAGGCATTAATTACTCGTACTATTCTGAACTTATTGAAGGTTCACCAATTATTTAAACTTCGATCCAAATTTATATCTCTAAAACCTGTGTATTTTCGGTACAAAGCTATAGTTGGTCTAGTATTCCATAATCTGCGAATTACTATTTGGAATCAACCTAGAAATACAATATTCAAATCAAATATAGCTATAAGAAGAAGAATAAAAGATTGAAGTATTGCAAACGACATACTGCGAATACCAAAAAAATAATTTCGAGAAAAAATATGTTTCATAAAATATGTTTCATATTTACTGAACGCTCTTTCGTTCTCTTCTCTCGAGCTCGTACCCTCTCTTTTGCGTCGCTTTCTCATCACTCTTTCACTCTCTCATCACTCTTTCACTCTCTCATCACTCGTTCGCTCTCTCATTATTCACTCGTTTGCTCTATCACTCTCAAGTGTTTTCAACTATTTTTCTATCCTATTTTTTACTCGAAATTAAAAAATAGATAGAATTTTTCTCTTTAGTTTTAATGCAAATTAAATTCAAAACGTTCATAAAATCACGTCTTTTAACTTGAGAAGAAAATATAAAATATTAAAAGCTTATTAACATATGTATTACTCTATTTTCAAGTATGCCAAATATATGCCCTAAATAGACAACTTAACGTTATAAACACCGATGGTTTCTTTAGGACAGTCAGTGTTTATTAAAAATGATAAATAAAAAAAATCTATTCTATTAAAACAGAAGCACATTTAATGCTTGCATCCAAACACTCCCAAAGTTTTTTTATAATATTTTATTTTATTTTTATATTTAATTTTCGAAAATTAGTTATTAATTTAGATATTTTTAGATTTTCTAAAATCTAGGTTATCTTTAATTCAAATTTCAAATTATTAGAAATTTAATTAAATTTAGTTACAAAAATTTTCATTCAATTTAATTTAAATTCAAAAAAATTATAATTAAATTTTATTACGAAAATTTAGATAATAATTTTAATACTTTAGAATTTCTTAAATACAGGAAAGATTTAATTTTAAATTTTAAATTTAAATAATATTTTTATAAAAATGCATAGTTAATAAATATTTTATCGTATTTTATCATAAACAATCAGTCTAAAATATCATATATTTGAAATTAATAAATATTTATATTATACAATAATATGATCGAGCTGATTAGAGTTATATATATATATATATATATGATTTGATACAATTAAACTAACAGGTTAGCCCGTTTATATATATATATATATACACATTTTTTTAATAGCACAAATAGTAAATAAATATCTTATTATATTTTTTCATAATCAATTGATCCAAATATTCCATATTAGTAAATATTTATAGGGTTATACAATTATAATTATAGTCTTATACGGGTTAGTTTGTCAAAACATGTAGGATATTAAAAATGATTTTAGACAACTAAACGGATGAATTAGCAAATTCATAGATATAAAGATTGTTTATGTGTAAATTTAAATTCACATAATAACAAAGTTTATAATTAACATTAGATCAATGTATACTTAATTAACGTATACTCTTATTCTACTAATATACAAATTTTACTGTTTAAAATTAAAATATGATAACAATTTTTTTATTTGACAAAATAAATAACAAAAACAAATTATATCTAAACAAAAAAGATAAATACAACTTATATTAGAAATAAAAAATAAAACATCGGGATTAAAATCTAGTGATTGATTTAAGCGATAAACCTAGATATAAAGTTTAAAACCAAACCAACACTACCTGTCATGGAAAAATATGCATGATAGTTTATTGATTCAAAGATTTTAATGGATTTAGAAATCCACGTTTAATCCATTGTTATTAATTATTTAATTTCTTGATTTTAAAATTTATGTTTAAATCTTATGTTAGTGATTCTATGATTTATAAGTACTAATTCAAATAACGTGTTACGCAATCCTATAGATTTACTTATGCACTAGATTCTAACCCCGTGCATCCGCACGGGAATATTTTTTATTGTTTAACGAATTTTGTAATATAATTTGTGTTTTTGAGTTTAGATATAATTATTTTTATAAATATATTTTTAATAAGTGAAAATATTGATTTTGTGTTTAGATATATTTTTATAGTATTAAAATTAATTATGATTATAAAAATATAATTAATTATAAATTTTTAATCAAATCAAATCAAATCTAAATTACCTATATTTAAAGAATTCTAAAAATATTTAAATTAATAACTAATTTTCAAAATTAAATATAAATAATTATTAAAATTATTTTAAACACTTAAAAAAAATTAAGAGTGTTTGGAAGCAAGTACTAAATATGCTTCTGTTTTAATATAATAGATTTGATTTCACCTTGCAGACTCTTTACCAAAACATCAATGTTTAACATCAATGTTTTTTACAGTTTTAAAGTTGTAGATTTCTTCGAATTCACTCCTCTCAGCTTTTTCTTCTTTGATTTAGAAGAAGACAGCAACACCTATTTTCCTATATTGTTTTTGCTTATGAATAAGTTTTTTGGTCAAAATCATTTGAGAATCCTTATATCATCTGAATAATATTAATGGAAGGAAAAAAATAGAGTCAGAGTAGTAAAATGTTGACCCTTGACAAAAGCTTAATCTTGCGAGGTCGGAGAAATAAAAGAAAGCAAAGACGAAAATGGGGATTGTCAGTGGAGTGTTGAGGAGGATTCTTGCTTGTGATGCCAAGCGACAACGTCTTTGTAAGGTAGATTTCCTCCAAATATGTCCAAGGCACTTCCCACTGTTACATCCACACGTCCCTTTCCTGCTTCTTTGATCCTCTCTACATCATCCATCACTGTCACGCCACCAGCATAAGTTACTGGAATCTGTCAACGTCAAAAATTACATGTGAGAAATAACCAGTCTCTCTGTCTCTCCAATGAAGCATAACCACTACATTCAATCCAATTCTGGTTTGGTCGCTGTTTTATTAACATCTAAAGCATCACAAGTTTGCTGAGTTCTGTTGATTCTCGTAAATTAGTAAAGATCAGATCGAAGTCATATGCAAACGAAAGCATCTTGATGTAAACAAAACGCCTAAATGATACTATGAAAATGTGTGTCAGTGTTACTCACCGGAGAATAGTTGCCAAGCAATGCAACAAGCTCTTCATCGATCCCTAGCCTTGGGAGAACAAATATAAGGATCAGTACATACTGACTTAATACCGTAATTTCATTCAATGCAAAACGAAACCACTCTTAAGACACTGAAGGCACAAGCTTACTTCTTTCCTTCAACATCTACGCCGTGCACAAGAAACTCATCTGCAAATCCTCCAAGAAACTCCAATGATTTCTCATCGAGGAAGACGTCGCTGAACTTCTGCCATCTATCAGTAACGATTGCGTATCTTCCATCCTGAGCAGCAAAATACCCTCTTAAGTAAACGCGGATCTTTTTCATGACAGAAGACTTAAAGACATTTAAAACATAAGATGAAACCGGTCAGAGAATCACCTTTTTTCTGCAGCTAAGGTCCAATATAAGTCTTTGTTTCCCAACAATGTTTACAAGATCTTTGAGTCTTTCAAGATCAATCTTTCCATTGTTAAATACATACTGAAAATATCAATAAAGCTTGATTACGACTAGCAAAAGTCCTTATGATAACAAACTCAAAAGAGCCTAGATATGACTATATACCGAAGTGACAATGACATGGCTTGCTCCCTCCTCTATGTAACTCAAGCAATTCTCTGAGTTGATTCCACCTCCAACTTGCAAACCGCCTAGAATTCATCGTCTTGTATCATATACGACACATGGATTAAATGAAAACTTTACATTTCAATCAAACAGTATGAATAAAAATCCTTTCACATTCACCCAAAGGCATACCGGGATAAGCATGTAGTGCTCCGATAGCAGCAGCTTGGCTTAAAGGGTCGGCTCCAAGCATTATCACATGACCACCCGTAAGCCCATCTTCTTTGTACATCTTTGCATACTCTTCCGCAGATTTGTCCGATTCGAAATTCGTAACGAGAACTGAACCATCTTCCTTCAAGTCACTAAGTGTGGATCCAACTATTTGTTTCACTTTTCCCTTCAAAACCATATGATCCAACTAGTTACCATCACGCAGTGAGTTCCATAAAAAGGATTCAGATTTCAAAACCGGTGAATTGATTCATACCTTGTGAATATCGATGCAAGGTCGGAATTGAACAGCGGATACAACCTGCACCCTCGAGGATCCTACATAATATACTCAAAGATTCACACTTCTGAAATTTGAGAAATTGCGTAAAAAGCAAGAACCAAAAACTGAATTCGACATACGTTTTGTCTTGGTAGCAAGCAATGCTCCGGAGAATTTGCGATGCTTTGTGAAAGAAGAGCTCTGGTTAATCTGGAACAAAGCGATACCACCATTGGAGTATAATTTGGAGCTGAAAGTTGACATCTTTGGAGCTGAAAATGGAATTCCAGAAGCTACAGCAATCAAAAATCCGGGAAGTAGGTGGATGGATCTATGTCTTTTCAGGTTCTGCTTCTAGGTTCCTTATAGGGTTTAGAAATCGGTTTGAATCTCGGTTCGTTCCGGTTTGTCAAATACTACTAGACATGGCTGGTTTAAAATTGAAATCGACAAAAAGTTGAGATTTTTCGATTTCTTTGACAAACAGAGTGATGCGATGGAACAAGAATAACGTTATCAATCTGGTCTCCAAATCCAATCATCTTCCGGCGCCGCTTACGCCGCCGTCGCCGGAGATTTACCGACTACCCCATCCTCCGCCACAGCTTCCGAAGATCTCGATTCCACCGACTCTTACTCTCTCTCCATCTCCTCGACACTCCAGTTTCGTCAATTACCTCGAAAACAACCTCCCTCACCACCAAACCCTAACTCCACAAACTCTCCTCGGATTCCTCCGTTCCAAGATCCGCCACCATCCGCTCTTCGCTCATTATGACTTCGCCGTCTTCAATTGGGCCACCACGCTCGACACATTCCGCCATGATCACGAATCTTTCCTCTGGATGTCGAGATCACTCGCCGCCACGCACCGGTTCGACGATCTCTATCGTCTCCTCTCTTTCATCGCTGCGAATCCGTGTCCTTGTTCCTCAGGTATCTTCTCTTGTCCACATCTCGAACCCATTTTCCGTTCCGCCATCGATTCTTACTGTAGAGCTGGGAAAATGGATTACGCTTTGTTAGCGTTCGATACAATGAAGAGATTGATCGATGGTAAACCAAACATCGGAGTTTACAACACTGTCATGAATGGGTATGTGAAATCTGGGGAAATGGACAAGGCCTTAAGGTTTTACCAGAGGATGGGGAAGGAAAGAGCAAAGCTTGATGTATGCACATTCAACATCCTCATCAATGGTTATTGCAGGAGCTCTAGATTCGACATGGCTTTGGATCTGTTCAGGGAGATGAAGGAGAAAGGCTGTGAACCGAACGTGGTTAGCTTCAACACTCTGATAAGTGGGTTCTTGGGGAATGGTAAAATCGATGAAGGTGTTAAAATGGCTTATGAGATGATTGAGCTAGGTTGTAGATTCTCGGAAGCAACTTGTGAGATTCTTGTTGATGGGTTGTGTAGAGAAGGTCGAGTAGATGATGCTTCTGGATTGGTGATTGATCTTTCGAACAAAAGGGTTTTACCGAACGAGTTTGATTATGGTGGTTTAGTTGAGAAGCTATGCAGAGAAAACAAAGCGGATAGAGCAATGGAGATGGTGGATGAGCTGTGGAAGAATGGCCAAATCCCATGTTTGATCGCTTGTACTACACTCGTAGATGGTTTGAGGAAATCAGGAAGAAGAGAGAAAGCATCAGGGTTTATGGAGAAGATGCTGAATACAGGAATGGTTCCCGATAGTGTGACGTTTAACTTGCTTCTTCGAGATCTCTGCGATTCTGATCATTCGATGGATGCAAACAGATTGAGAGTATTGGCATCAAGCAAAGGATTTGAACCAGATGAGACAACGTACTATGTTTTGGTTTCTGGATTCAGGAAAGAAGGAAGAAGAAAGGAAGGAGAAGCTCTGGTGAACGAGATGTTGGACAAAGACATGTTGCCTGATATCTTTACATATAATAGGTTGATGGATGGCTTGTCACGTACCGGAAATTATTTTGGAAAAAAATGTACGAAGCTAAAATCATAATTAATAAGAACAGAGCTTAACTCTGCAGTAGTGCAACAAGAATCTCATTATAGTTCGCAGATCATCACAAGAACCATATAGTTGCAGTGCATTGGCCATGGAGCTAAGTAGAAACCAAATTCAAAATTAGAATTCAAGATAAGAACCATTAATGAGCTAAAAAGAATCAAATGATAGATCTAAACTACAACATTGCTTTCAACCAAACAATTTTTTCATTATCTGAAATACGTTCATAGTTTCTTGTTTCGGAATTGACCTACTTCACGTACCAGAAAGGACAAGAGGGTTCTGTTATTATTTTTCTGTCATAAAAAAAACAACATTTCTAAAATAACCTATTCAAGAAACACCATCAAAGGCATATACACACACCCACACGATTATTGATCATACATCAGAACATCTTGCAGTATAACGAGAGACAAAGGTCGCTGCAGCGTGCAGGATAGTGATCATATCGGACTTGTTAGACACGGGGATAGCGAGAGCTGCCTTTCTTCTTCAAGAACTCTGGGATCTCCACTGAACCGCCTTCTCTAAAGGAGGAAGAAGGTCTTCTTGTAGCTCCCATTGAGGAGGTATCCACTTGTGCCATCTGAACCGCCCTTCCTTCTCCTTCTTCTTGTCGTTTGAAACCCGTGGCTATGAGAGTTATGCTTACCTTGTACCAAACAATGAATTTTTTTTTTCAACAACTTGCACACCAATTTCTACATCTCATATATGTTAGTACAAGACAAAGGTCATACTTGACCGCTGAGGGATGGATCCACAACAGCGCCGAAAATAAGATTGGCAGTTGGATCGACAAGATCATATATAACTTCCGCAGCAGCATTTACCTACAAGGACCAAAGTGTATGAGAAACAGTGTAGAGCATGTTAAGGGTCATAAGGCAAAATCAGGCTTTGCTCGGATTTGTTTATGGATCTATGACACTGAGTTAAGAAACAAGTTGATAGAGAAAGACCTCAAACAGTGTTAAGTCGCTTCCACCAGTGATGTTCCAAACAATTCCAGTGGCTCTCTCAATGCCAATATCTAACAAAGGTGATTGGATCGCATTTAGTGCAGCATCCCTTGCCCGGCTCTTTCCTGCTTGATCGCCAATAGCACGAAAAAATCAGCATGATGCAAACAAAACAAAACCTCGAGTTAAAGAAGAAGTTCAAGACTTTCTTTAATACATAGATGCACAACAGTTGAGTAACAACAAATATGATATGGTCATTTTCAGTATCCCACTGGTATTTTGCCAAACCAAATCTACTAGCTCGCTAATCCAATTAGAGTACTTTGCATATCTAGCTTGTGAAATTCTGCAGCCAAAAGAGATTAATCGATCATTCCAGGTTTACCTGTTGCAGTTCCTATTCCCATCAATGAAGAACCCGCATTTGCCATTATAGCTCTCACGTCAGCAAAATCCACATTTACCAAACCAGGAATCTGAAAAGCACAAAGGTAGCTGTTAAAGCATTTGTCACACATTAAAAAAATGAGCACAAGAAGTCCATTAAAAGCTATACCGTAATGATATCAGATATCCCACGAACCCCCTGACGAAGTATATCATCAGCTAGATTAAATGCCTCTGTTACCGGAGTGGACTGAGAGACAGCTGTAAGTAACTTGTCATTTGGAATAACGATGAGAGTGTCGACATTGTCTCTGAGAGAAGCAAGCCCTTCTTGAGCCTGAACTGCTCTTCTTCGACCCTCAAACGAGAAAGGCGTTGTGGCGATACCAACCGTCAATATACCCATCGCTTTAGCAATTCCTGCAATTACAGGAGCTGCACCAGTTCCAGTTCCACCGCCCATTCCAGCCTAAACATTGACAAAGACATGTGACCAGCAATGCTCAAGCAGTGACGTTGATATTACAATAAATCACCAGAACTAACTGATAAGTGATAAGAACTGAAACTGACTAAAACGTAATAAAATGGTTTCAGACTTCTTCTTCTATGATCAAAGTTTAAAACTACGGAGAACGGAATGCGATAGTCATAATCAGAGATTTGAGTTACATACAGTGACAAAGACCATATCTGAGCCATAAAGAGCCTCCTCAATAGCTTCTTTGCTCTCTCTAGCAGCGTTCATACCAATCTCAGGATTTCCTCCAGCACCTAAACCCCTTGTCAGCTCCTTACCAATTTGTAACCTGTTCTCTGATAAAACAGGAGACATTCTCATAGCCTGAATATCAGTATTCACAATCCAGAACTCCACGCCTAACATTTCACTCTCTATCATACGATTCACAGCGTTTGATCCTCCACCTCCCACACCAATAACTTTGATCCTCGCCTCATTGTAGTTGCTCGGAACAGACGGCTCTTCAAAATCCTCGGTAACAGGTCCCGCAGAGGTTTCCTTTCTAGGATTGGCTATTGTGTTGGCTCCTTCACCTCTAAGCATGGATATCTCAGGGTGAAGGTTCAAGAAAGGGTCTTGGCTTTGGAAATGCCGTGGAGAGTTTCTGATTGGGGAAGATTCGGATCTCTGAGCAGCAACAAAGACTCGGTTTTTCTTACTCTCAAACATCTTAAAGGAGTGTACTTTGCCTAAATGAGTCTCTGGTGATACATTCTTTCTAAGAACAGTGAGAAACCGAGAGTCGGATGGAGTAAAACAAGGTGAAATGTAAGCTGTCATATCGAGACCACAGTACAAAAGCTCAAGAACCAAACCACACTTCAATCTGATACCAGTGATTGTTTTCCTTTTAACAAAACCTGTTCATGAAAGGCTAAGAAGTGAAACCGAGGTTCTCAATTATGAGTCATATATGATACAATCACAAAGGAACAACATGAAAATCAAACAAGAGACTGTAAAGAAGAAAGTTATCTAATCATCATTTCTTCAATTGAAGTTTCGGAAAGTATGAAAATTGAACCAGGAAAATTTTAATTGCAAGCGGTGTCGTTATGAATTGACGAAATTCGAGATGGGTTTTGTCGAAATTTGCAGCATTTACAAGTTGAGACAGAAGAAACCCGACAAAAAAAAAAACTTCGACTATAGGCTAAAACACTCCAAAGGCAAAGAGAATAGCGATAGAAAATGGCAGAAGCAAATTAGAAGAATGTAGAGCAAGAGAGAACGAAGATGAAGAGAGAAACCTGAGAGTAGGAGAATAGTTGGAGGTAGAAGAAAAAGGTAAGCTCAAGGAATGGAAACCCCGACGCAGAGGGTTTTGGTGTTTTCTGCCTAAATATCTCTTTACACTGAAATTGAAATTAAAATTAAAATAAAATGCTTTCTTCAAATTATTATCACCCTGTCTCAATATATTCTCTGTTGTTAAGTTGGTACATTTGGTAAAATAAAACCTGTTGGGAAAAAAAAACAAGAAGAAAGTGAAGTGATTTTTTTTTTATAAGAAAAGAAAAACAAGAAGAAAGTAAAAAAAATAACAAGCTCTTGAATTTCTTTTTCCTTTCTAAAATGTCATGGTTTAATTTGACTTAAATGTTTTTGTGAATCTGTATGTGTGAATGGAAATGGGCTTGTTTTATACGTACATTCTTGATATTTTCTTTTTTTTGGGTGTAATTCTTGATATCTTTTGATTATCCATTTTAGACTGATTTTGTAGCAAGAATAATGGCAAACCGCTGTAGAAGATCAGATTCCATGTCCTGTTTTGATGACAATTGAGTACTCACTGAAGGAAGAAAAAACAGAAACAGATACATACGTGCGAAGATGGTAAAACTAAATTTAGTGACAGAACATTTGTTATATCCACTAAAGATACATGATGTTGAAACAGAGGATCACTTTCTTGTTGACAAGGAACAGAAGTAAAAGAAGATCAGATTGTGTTCCTCCTCCTACCAACACAGAAAACATCCAAGTAAAAAAAGATTTGTGTGATCTCTTTTCCTCATGACAAAACAAAACCAACCTACCAACACCATAGAAATCATCAGTTTTTTTTTTCCTCTTTTTGTCTCCGACGTATAAACTTCCTTACTTCTTCATCTTCTACTCATTGCTTGTTCAGAGCGGACAACTCGGGTTCCTCATCAATGTCCGCAATCTCCCGCTCGCCTTCGGCAACTTCGGTTGTGCTCTTGTCTTCAAACTCTCAAAATACTGCAAACCATAAACCAAAAAAAGATTGTAGTGCTTCCCAGACGCAACATATTGGTTCCAAGAAAATGCAAAAGAACTCATAGTTGTATCAAAAGCTTTGTTTACCTGTTGCTTCCTCTTTCTCTCCAACTCCCCCTGATGAAAAAAAGAACAAAAGACCAATTCTTAAAATCCCTTTTCACAAAAAGTAATAAAGTATTTAACCAGATTAAGATCAAATCATACCAATGCATGTTTTAGCTGCGCATTCTCTTCTTTCAACTGGTTCAATTCCGCTTCTAATTCCACTGTATACGCCTTCATAATCCCCCCCCCCCAAAAGAAAACAACATTAATCTACAAGGAACATTCATCTTCATCAAATGAATAGAAAAAGATGTTTATATTATTAACCTGCTTTCTTGCTCTAGACCTTGCAGCAGACTCACGGTTCTTGATCATCCGCCTCTGCCTTCTTTCCACTACTTTCTCCACTGGACCATCCACTACTCTTTTCCTTCCCCTTAACCCTCCCATATCCACTCCATACTGACTTCCTATGTTATCCACTTGTCCATGTCCTAACCCGTCTGATGAAACAGGGCTTAACGGTCCCACCATCCCCATTTGTTGCCCACCACCTCCAAACCCACCACCACCACCTCCATAGCAAACACCTGGTGGTGCCTGCTGGTACCCTCCTCCTCCTCCTGTCCTTTTACCATAACCTGAAGGGTCACCTACACTCATGGCCTGACCGGGGAAAGTAGGATCACCGGTTCCTTGAAACACACCATAGAGCTGCTGCTGCGTAGCTGCGGGTATAACACTAGATTGGTTTTGGTTTGAGTTTGGGTTTGGGTTAGGGTTAGGGTTAGGGTTAGTGGGATGTTCTCTAACCACACCTGCCTTGACCAAGAAATCTTCAAGCGTCATCTCCCCAAAAGTTGGTTGTCTAGCCGCGATCTCACCGCCGTTTTGAGCATTGTCTTGACCATTACTACTACTGGTACGTCCACTTCTGTCTCCACCACCACCTCCTCTATGTATCTCAGACCAAACCTCATCAACAGTCTTTCTACAAAGCGGAGCTGGAAGTGTCAACGAGCCTTGTCGTGCAAGACTTGGTTCCTTTGCTATCACTGATCTCTTATTAGCCCCTTGGTTACCTGAAGAACCACCACCACCAAAGACGTTACTCTCGGCTCCACCATTGTTGTTGTTGCTGTTGTTGAAACCGTTGTGATTGGGCGGAACAGGGTTAGAAGCTGCGGCTGCTGCTTGCTGATTGTTGTTGTTCTCTTCTGCGTTCCAAATAGAGACGAGAAACTCGTCCATGTTCATTGACCCGAAGTTCTTGCCGTTCTCACAGAGAGCGTGTTGGAACTCGTCGAGGGTCAATGAGTAGATCGAGGATTGTCTTCCCAATGAAGAAAACGGATGATTCTCTCCTCCACTTCCTCCATTATGTCTTGTTTGTGCCGTCGATGATTCTACTTCTCGCTCAGGCATCATCGCTGTTTCTCTAACTACCATCTACCAGCTGCATATATATATAGACACATCAATGATCAATTAAAAGCTTCATTCAAAAATGCAAAAACGATATTGGAACAAAACACGTATCCACATACACTGGATTCAAAAGTATTACATAGCTAACACCACAAATTTGTGTCTGTTTCTCTGTTTTGTTTTTCTTTCAGTTTTATACTGCTCTCTTATGAAAAATTATTATATATTTAGCCATAAAAGAGCGAAAAAAATGAGTGGACAAAATTCACGGAAAAAATTATTACAAAAAATGGAAATTGAGTTTGAACTTTGAACTTTGAAGTTTGAACGGGTAAAATTTTCGTTCGTAAATAACTTAGATTAGGAACATTAAAATAAAATAAAAAAGAATTTCAGGGTATTTAAGTCGGTCCACGTGAAAATAAAGAAGAACGGTCCACATCGTGACAGCGACAAACGATACTAAATTTAGCAATAAAAAAACTAATAATTACACATTTCAATAAAGTTTTCGTTTCCAAAAGAGGAAAAATATCATACCCCACTCGTTTTACTCTAAAGCGAACTTATCAACAAATATATTTTTTCCCTGTTTAATTATCTTCTATAGAACTCGCTAAACAACAGATACTTTGGATCTTAATCTAATATAACTCTTAGTTTCAGTCATCCCTAATTCCTTTTATCCGTCTATTACAAAGAACCACTTAATTATTGACAACAAATTAAAAGAAATAAATCTGATAGGAAGAGAAGGACCAGAACGGAAAACTCAAAGTTTAACTCTGTTAAATCAAAGATATTTTACACTTAGCAATAAGTAAACAAATAAATAAAATTTTCCTTAACAAAACGACCTGCTTATCCAAGATCTTGGAAACAAAAAAAAAAATTCAAGAAAGTAGTATCGGGAAGAGAACCTGAAAGTAAAACCAGTGGCTTCGTGTTCCTCCACCGCCGGAAAACTGAGAAATTGTATGTTTTTCTGGAGGCTCCTCCTCCTTCACATAAGTTCAAAGCCGCCGGAGAATATTTAAACTAAAAAGAGTTCTGAGATATTTTCAATCTGTTGTGTTGTGTGAGAGAGATAAAATGTTTGGGAGAGAAGGCGGTAAAAAGAGGTTAGATGGCGCGTTGGACCCACGAACAGTGGCGTGAAGGTCAACAACATTTTTTGTCCAAAGATTATTCTTCAGCCAATGAGGTTTCAAAGATATGCAAACTTAGACAGGTCCAGGTCCAGGCCCATGATCAGAGGCAAAGAATCGGTGCGGCAGCGTTTGACACGTGTTATACACGTGTTTTCTTTATGTTACTTGGAGTGTCCTCTTTGTAGCTTGACACGCGTGACTCTTCGCTACAAAAAATGTTCTTTACGTCAAAACTTTGGATTTTTGTTTGTTTCTTTTTCAAATAAATCCTGGATTCTTTGTTTCTTAACATAGCACGTGAAAAACTGGATTGAGAGTTAATAAAATATTAGATTTTATTCCGTGCATTTCATGTTTTAATTAAAATTTTTAATTTAATTTATGTTTTATTTATAAATATAATTTTTTAATAAATGATATAAAAAAAATTGTGTTTAGATATAATTTTTTTTTTAGTATTATTATGACCATCATGATCATAAAAACATAATTTTAATTTTGTTATTTTATTAATAAAAAATAACCATTATTATAAGAATATATTTTTAATTCGCTCATTTTATTAATCCAAAAAAACTATGATTATGAAACCATAATTCTAAACCGCCCGTTTATATTACTTTATAATATAAATATTTATTAATTTTGAAGTAATTTTCTCTTAATATTTTGCATGTTTTGATAACCTAATCCGCATAAGACCATAATTATAAAAAAACTTAATTAGTCCTATCAATTTAATATATAATATTAATATTTATCTTTTTTCAATATGTGAAACTTTAATTTGATAGAATATGATTAAAAAAATATAGTAAAATATTTATTAAACATATGTGTTATTCTGAAAATCTTATTTAAATTTCAAATGTTAAATTAAATTTAACTTATATATAAAGAATTTTATTTAAATTAATATCTATAGATTATAGATATAACTTATATTTAAGGAAATTTTTAGTTATCTAAATTAATATATATATATATATATTAAAAAAAAAATTTGGGAGTGTTTTAAACAAACACTAAAAGTGTTTCTATTTTAATATAATAGATTTGACGAAAAAAAAAAATCATTTCGACACTGATGTTAAGAAAACTGATGTAAAAGTGAATTTTATAAGTATGTATTTTGTACAGAAAAATTCTAAGTTTTGACAAAAAAAAAAAAAAAAAACAAAACTACAACCAAATTGAAGTACGCTTCTTATTTTGTCGTCAATTGAAATACGCTCTTACCATGATAATTTGTTGCGAATTAGGAGATGTCCAAAACAAAATTTTGTTGTGAAATAGGAATACAAAATTTGAAAACAAAAAAATCCGACCTGCCGGAATCGAACCAGCGACCTAAAAGATTACAGCAACTACTACATTCTTCCGTTCTACCAACTGAGCTAAGGTCGGATGTTGATATTGTTGCTTACTATTATAAAAATATCATTAATTATGGGCTTATTTAAAAATTTATTCTGGCCCTTTAATGGTAAAAACAAAAGTTAAGAGATTGGACCTAAGATCAGTTGGTAGACCAAACACTAGTGGCTTCAGAAACGTGGTTGTTCAAACTTCAGAGTTTAGACATAAGAAACTGAAACTCATTTTTAATAATAATAAAAAGTATCAAATTTTAAAGACTATGTATCTACAACAACCAAACTCCTTTTCTTTTTCTTTCTTCTTTCTATGAATAAAAATATTCGCACAAGTTTAAGATCTAACTGAAATTAATAGTCCATAGAATTATATTATTTTTCTAATCTTTGCCTGCTTTTGCTTACCAAATGAATATGACTTCTTTCATAATTTGTCAAAGTAAAAGAAGAAGAAAGAGTATTATAGGCTTACATAGATAAACTATAATTAAGACTAATATTGGGTGATATATAGTATTATATGATGGATGCAGAGAAACTTTTCAATAGCTACCAAAACTCTTACCAATCACCCACGATATACATTAGTAAAAGATCTTTAAAAAAATCAGAAATATTCATGAATCTCTCTGATCGTTTCAAAGTACTTAATATCGATCATGTCACATAACAAAATTAGCCAATCTTTTATGAGATTTCAATTCTTGACTTCATTGTTGGCTAAGAATGTCTTAACGATGTTATCAACCATACCTGGAGCAAGCGGGAACATATGCCCTGCTCCAGGAATCTCATGGTAATGAATCCATGGCAGCTTCTTTGCAATGTATCGTTGCAGAGTCACAGGGACAAGAGCGTCATCATCTCCCTGCCACAAGTGCACCGATCCCTCGTTGTTCGGGAACAAGTTCTCGAGTTCCATTGGATCAAATTCCCATTTTCCAAATCCAACAATCATGTCACGGATCACGGTCTCGAATGTTCCTTGCTGCCTTACTTGTGCCTGAAGTAATGATTTGATTTGATGAATGCAAATAGGTGTGAATAAGAAGAAGTGATTATTATTAAATATACCTCATGTGTCCTCCGAGAAGCACCAAGCTTAAACAAGATCTCTTTGTCTGCTTTAGACAAGGAACCGAGATTACGGGTCACAACACTTGAACCAGGGAACCACTTCTGAGAGTTCCACCAATGAGCAAGCCAAGGAGCATAGTGTGCAACACGAACCGCCCAATGGTCATTTATCTCTTGTTGGTTATAAGCTTCTTTTGAGATGTCTGATGGAAAGTTCTTCCACCAGTAGTTCACCACTGGAGCCACAAGCGTTACTCCAGCTAACCTAAAAAAAACAGACACATCACAAACAGAGAGACATTCACAAATATCAAAAAATCATTCCTTTCAATAACTATGACATGATACCTGTGAGGAATGTATTTAAGGCATGCCCATGTCGCTTGTCCTCCCATAGAGTACCCGATGATATAGAATTTAGATCCTAGACTCAACTGATCAGCAAGCTCTTCTATGTCCAAAGCCAAGCTCTTGGGAGTACGGTTTGGGTTTGGATCACTCTCTCCATAACCAGGTCTATCAAATGAAACCATATACACACCTAGTCCTTCCTTTATATCCTACAACATTGATATGATATCAAAAGTTTAAGTCTTTAAAAACTGATTGTAATTAGTAGAGTTTGGCAAAAGATCATCACAATAACATTTAAAGTAAATTATACCGGTGATAGTAGAGTTGCGAAAGCATTATCGTGCCTGCAACTATCAGATCCATGGACAAAGACGATTTTACGGGTAGCTTCATCTCTGGGAACTCCATGCTCTTTGTAAGCCAGATGTCTTCCATCTCTCAGCTTAATTCTCGGTGCTGTGACCAATGGACCACCAAGAGAGCCACATAGCTTTGGAGGAGGAGGCTGGATCGCCTGATAAGTCGATGTAGCTATACAGACAGAGAACACCAACAACAGCTTGTAGAGAACACCTGTGATCAAGATTCAGACAAACACATGTTGTCCTGTCTCTAAAGTGAATCTTCAATGGCAAGAAACACACAAGCTATGAAATTTCTCAAAGACCAGATTCACTTAAGAACCCACTCATGGCCACTTAAAAACATTCCTCAAACAAATATTCTATGAATATAAATCTTATATATGTCTATGGGTAAATGGTTAGTCAAATTATGAACATGTTACAAGTTTCCACATGTTGATGAAACTAGTATCAAACTAAAATGAAAAATCCATCAAATCCACATAATTTGAAGGACCCACAGAAAAAAAGTTCTAAGAGTATTCATCGTTAGATTGATTTGGTTGACGAAAATTACACTTAATAACGAAATTTCCAGATAAAGTATATAACGTGATTCAAAACCATCATTAAATGCATCGTCTAATTGTCAACAATCTAATCAAATATTTCAGCTCGCTTGTACCAATTCTGGAACTTTTTCTTGTGTTCTTTCCGACTCTTCGATCTATTTTGAACAGAAATTCAAGATTACAAAAAAAATTCTGGAATCTTTCTCTACGATTGTTGCCATACTTTTTTACATCGATTTTATTTTCTGAGTGCTAAAACAGAATGGAAGAGGGAAAGATCAAACCTGAGGAGCGGGAGCTCGCGGAATCTGTCGATCCAGTAGCCATTGCCAAGAGAGAGGAGCAGAGAGAGAAAGAAGCAAGAGAGAGAGAGAGAGAGAGAGAGAGAGAGAGAGAGAGAGAGAGAGAGAGAGAGAGAGAGAGAAAGAAGTAGCTGGAAGTGAGAAGAGAGGTTGGTCTAATTAACGCAGGTTACTTTGCAAAATTGGTCGTTTCTTGTTTGTTTGGTTAATCACTCAATAATCCACTGTAGTAGGAATGAGATGTGAATATGCTTCATCCACGTAATCAGTTGATTAATAATAATACACAATTATAGAAAGAAAGAAAAAGTTACTATCACGCAACCCACAAACTTTGCAAAATACTAGAAAGTTAGACCCGAAAAACAAACTGAAAAGGTGGAAAAAGGGGAGATTATTAAAGTTGACCAAAAAAAAATTAAAGTTGATCAAAGTTAGCAAACAAAAACATGTAATGTATATATTTTGGTAGGTACATTTAGTGATCAAATATGTCTAACATTGAGTGGATGGCAGTGTTTGTATGTTTGTACTTTGTAGTTTGTAGGATATACTTACAAAAACTGGCTCCATATGACTATATGCATTATATAGGTTTCAGTGTATGAGTTGGTAACTTGTGATTTCTAATTTTTTATTTTTTGTAAAAATAACTGTACGTATTATGAGGTGTGTATTTCTACCAAAAAAAGTCAAATTGTATACATATTTTAGGTTTTACATGTGTGATACTCGCCGTGACAGATTTTATGATAGAAAAGATTCAAAACTAATTAACAAAGATATACTATATTTATATTTGATACATGGTAGGTGTACCTTCTCCTCAATAAAACCTTTTATAGTAATACAAAATAAATTATCTTTCGACAATGATGTCGTCGTACCATATATTTATAAGGTTTATCATCATGTGTAAATCACTAGTGTTGTGTTTTTTCGAATACAATCAAATTAATTTTTTGGACAACAACTACTAACCAGTGGAATCAGATTATTGAAAAAGTGTTTAGTGGTTCAAGTTATAAGCCAAAGATGGTCTTGACTTGATATGTTGTATCCAATGAATTGTTTAGAGGAGACCGGAAAGTCGGGAATAAACTATACTGTATGTGTTTATCATAGTCGACTTGTTTATCTTTGAAATTTGAATCTCGAAATATAAAAAACGAGGTCACATTATTGAAGATATATAACTTGGGAGCAACATCTTCAATATAGTATTTATAGAATTCACGTTGAGGAATATGTATTTTGGTCGCGTTAGTCTTATCTAACATAAGGTTAATGTTCATTTGACAATTAAATTGATAAAACTAAAAGAAAATATTATTTGCTCGTAACATATTTGAAAATAGCTATTTTATCAAATGTCAGGTTGCTCATTAAAATACATATAGCGACTGTTGCACGGGAAACGTGCAATGTAGTTATAATACAACAGTGAACTTGTCGTTTGCGTAGAAAGTCTTAAAAATTGAGATTTTTCTTTTTCTTTTTAGGAATCTCCTAAAGAAAATTCTCCAAAGACTTAAAAATTCCCAACAAAAGATAGTTGTAGATTCGTTGAGGACCGTTCCACTAACCCATCTTCTCTTCTAATCACCTCTACAAATAGACATTAAACCACAACGAACCCCAAAACCAGAAACTAATCGGAAAATCAACATGACACGTCGTGCAAGTTATATTAACATAGGAACAGAAGATAAGAAGCAAGAAGCAAACGAACCTAAACACGATGGTGAGGGAGGTAGTGAAGAACCCGGCGAGGAGGATGACCTGTTCGAGATAAACCTGGATGCCGTGAATGATACGACGTCGTCTCCGCCGTCGTATGATTGGCAGAGATTCCCGGCGAGGACAGGCAGCGTTTTACTGGCGAACTGTCTGTTACCAGCTGCTGACATCTCTTGTGCCGTGCCTGCAACGTCAAGGGCTTGGAGTGATTTGGTTTCGTTTAGAATGTTTCTCTATGTTGAAAATATAGGGATTGAGAGTAAAGAAGCTTAATTATTTTTGAATAAGAATATACTGATGATATTTATCTTGTAGTACTTAGAATTGTATTTGTTAGGAGAGTTTATGGATCCTGGATATGGGTTTATATATATTTACTTAAAATCATTTGTCTTACGTCCTGATAACAACAAATGAGATCAAACAATTCGTGTATTTGCTAAACGCGGAAAAGGGAACTGATGAAGAACATTCACGCTAAACCTATATCCTGTTACAAAGACATGAGACTGTGATTAGGGAAATAGTATGTGAGGTCCGTTACCAAGTCCATTACGACGTCTAAGTTCGTCACATCCGCAATTCCTTCATAGATGAGTATGACTCTTCTCACGATGTTCTCGTTGGATCGAAATATAGAACATGTAATTGACTCAACAAAATTCTTGTTGGTACAAAATTGATCTCACGTACTCGTAAAAGGGTTTGCGAAACTCGATCTTTAAGAGGAAAAGGTAAACAAAAGTATCACTACTCACTCATGTTTTTCTCCATCCTCCAAAACTCAGTGAATTGGCAGGGGACAAGCAACAATCATTTGAAGTAGTTGATTAAAACAAACTGTCCACAGGAGAACAAGAGCAACAACAAGACTTGTCCGAATTCTCCTGTTGTGGCAGTAGTAGACTATACTGAAGCCAAAAGTCCTTCTCCCAAACTTCTCTATATACAAAGAACAAAACCGAGGACCCGTAGATACTAATCATAATATTTCATTCGACTACGCCTTAGTTCCAAACCAGCCAAAATGCTAAACCAACTCATATCTTTTTATTCCTAACAGTGTCAAAGCATTCGTATTGGGGCCTAAATGTATAATCAAAGCAATATATAAGCACAGCTTTATATTACTTCCTCTCCGGAAAGCAAATGGCAGAAGAAAAACGACATGAAGCTTATAAGCTCTTCTCAACACACTTGCATGAGCATTCGGATACTCTCACAAATCTAATTTCAAGAATCAAAAGACTGTTTCTGTCTAAGAGAAAGACACATATTTGATGAATTGTGTAAAAGTATATAATTCTTAAGTAAAAACCTCGAAAACTTCCAAGTGAAAGATACAAACATTGAATCAAATTTCTTAAACATGTTTTCTACTAGTTAACCAAAAAAAATAGCCTTTACACATTGCTCTGCTATTCCCACCCAATTCAACCTCACACCAAAGATCTTAAGTTTCTATAGCATCGGAAAGATTCACAAACTATCAATTCTCCGTAAAGCATAACAGTAAGAGGAAATTCAAAATATAACGAGAAGAGAGAAGAGAGTATAGATCAAGAAACAAGCGTACGAGATCAAGCCACGATGTTCTTCTCCACCGTCGGCGAGAGATACAACCAATGTGGAGCAAGCCCTTGTGGACCACAACACGAACACCGCCGCAAGCACGAACCGAACCGGCCCTGCCCCTTGCGGCACGAACAATGACACCGCCGATAAAACCACCACCGGAAGAAGACAGTATCCAACCAAGCTCGTACACGTATGGAGATTAAGGTTCCCGTTTCGACCCGCAAGCATGTTGAAGACGGCGTAGAGGAAGATAGAGGAGACGACGATCCATCCGAGTATGACACCGAACTGGATCTTCCCGGCGAGTAGCTGAAACAGGCAAAGCGCTAGGTATAGAAAGATCGGGCCAGATAGATCTGAATCCTTGTGAACGGACTGATTGATTCGGAAAGGATTGAGAATCGATCTAGTCTTCTTCCAGATTTGATCTGGATGGATTCCGAGCTCGTCAAGCAAAGGCTCCTCGTCTTCGAACGAAGCTGAGCCTCCGCCAAAAGATGAGGACGAGGACATTGTGCCGCCGAAAGGTCCGGCCGGCGTCGCGGAGGACGCGGCTGCGGATCCGATGTCGAACGACATGAAAGGGATTGCGGAAGTGGAGGGACGAGGCGGCTGAAACGGCGCCGCCGGGAATCGTCGTTGCTGGACATTAGCACCGGCTGAAGATCCGCCGGAGGGGAAGACCACAGGTGGAACTGCGAAGTCCTTCGTCATCTTCAAACTGTTTCCCGAATTGAGATCCCAGAATCAGCAAAGGATTACAAAATTAGGGTTCAGGTTTAGATCAATGAGAGAAAATTTCACGTTCGTGACGTTTCAGAGAATTTCCCCTTTTTCCTTTTATTTTCCTTGATAGTGAAAAGCGTACATACAGCGAAGAAGAAGAAGAAGGCGTCTGAGGGCATTTTCGTCAATCTATCTATTAACATCTTAATATATGACGAAATTCTATGCGCTAATCTTCTTCGCCATTGGCATGTTGACGTATATCACCCATTGTAAATTACTATAGTATCCTCCTTATAAGCTTAAGTAGAAATATTTAAAGGCCCAATGGGTCTCACCCGGCCCAATAACTATCGACAAACGTGGCACGACATTTATTGGCTGAAGACTCCTTCGCCAAGAAGACCGCCGGAGTAAGAATTCAATCAGTGAAGAAAAGCCGGCGACTTCCACATTTTGCCGGTGAATATGGCCGTCGATGACGAGGGTATCTCGACGCTGGTCGCGGTGGCTTCCTGCGTCGCTATGGCACTATTCTACGTCTTGATCCTTTACGCTCCCACCGTGATTGTCCGTCTTCCGTCGGCTTCTTCCTTCTCTGAATTCATGATCCGGCGATTCATTTGCGCTGCCGTATCTACCGTCGCGTCTCTCGTCTTCACAGCTTTCATACTCCCTGTAAGCTTCTGTTAGTCGCATCCTCGATTTGAAGTTAACTCACCGTTGAATTAGGCCAAATCTACAAGAAGCTAATTACAGTTTGTATCGGCTCTTGTACGAGTTCATCATAGTGATCCTTCTCACTGGAATCACTTTCTTTCGTATTTAAGATGCATTTGGTAATATTCTTCTGAGTCAACTTTGATTTAGTGAATGGTAACATATCACTTAATGAAACTCAAACAAAAGTGCAGAACTTTTTATGTTTGTGTAGCTTTGCTCAGAGTTGAGTTTGTTTTACTACTTGTAGAATGCCGTAATATCTGTAATTTATTTGTCAGTTAGAATGTTAGTACTATGCAACACTAGTTACAAGAATCGCTGAAACCTCTCGTCATTTTTGTTTGATCGAAAAATGTCAGATAAAAAGCTGGGAGGCCTCTCTTATACTTGGAGTTTATGGCATAAGGAAAGATCATCTGGTAAGTTCTTTTAATTCGGGTTAGGAATCACCATGATTGGTCTTCTGACTAGAAAATGCAGTTTCCTTGATACACCATCAAATTAAAAATGATGATGTTTTGTGATATGTAACAGTGGCAAGGAGTGGTGTATCCTCTTCTACTGACCTCGCTCATTTATTCCGGATCCTTGGTCTCCAAGCTGTTATTACTCCTGGAATCATGTAAGGAAAATGGAGGAGGATGTAGCTTCTTTAATTACATCATAGGCTTTGTCCAAACAACCCCTTCTTTGGTAGTGACAGGTGCTTCTAATGTTTCCGTGTGGCGCAATTTTGTCGTGGTAATAAACTGCTCACTATCTCTTTTCAATTATGTATCGAAACTGCATAAGACCTGACTTGCATTAATCCGGCAACTAATATGCATCAGTTTGGCTTGTCATGTACCTTCTTTATTCCTATCTCCGTTTTTTTCATAACTACTAAAGCGAACAAATTGTGGTCAATTAGAGCTGGCATTTCTTGTGATTGCAGGCACCATTAACAGAGGAGCTGGTTTTCAGGGCCTGTATGATACCTTTGCTTCTCTGTGCTGGGTTTAAGATCTACAGCGCCATCTTTCTCTGCCCAATCCTCTTTAGCTTGGGTTTGTTTCTTTGCTTCTCTGTTAATGACAGTTTTCAACTCGAGTGAGATGCAAAATGGCTGGATTTGTCTTCTTGTATGTTTTGTGCAGCTCACTTGAACCATTTTAGAGAAATGTACATCAGGCATAACCGCAGCTACCTCAAGGCCTCACTGATTGTTGGTATGCCTCATATGCTTCCCGTAATCATAATAATACTGTTTGTCTCAGAATGTAACTAAGCAGTCCTGAGCTTAACTTGCCAGGTCTTCAGCTTGGCTACACAGTCGTTTTTGGTTCATATGCATCGTTTCTCTACATCAGAACCGGTAAATTTCATGCATTATATAATTACATGTATTAGACCTTCTAATGTTGTCCTTGGTGATGATGTTATCCTGCATTGCGTAATGTTTACAGGACATCTCGCTGCGCCTTTGTTCGCTCATATATTCTGCAATTACATGGGATTGCCTATGTTATACGCACAAGGAAAAGGTATCAAAGAAAATTACATAAGCTTCAAAGTTGTAACAAATTCAAATGCAGAGAAATACGCTAAAGATGTCCTCCTCATGGTTCTTCTCTCAGGTTTGGTGAGTGCAGCTTTCTTAGTCGGTGTGGTCGGATTCGTCTCTCTTCTCTTTCCTTTAACAAAGCCTCTCATGTACAACGATAGAACCAACGATTGCCCGTGTTGGCTTGGTTATTGTTTGTGGGATTCAAATGTGCAATCACATCTATGAATTTTAACAGTTATTCATTCATCAAGTTGTTTTTAACAGATTGTTTAAAAAAAATAAAGAAATAACGGAGTATTAGTTTGGTATTTACGCTTGTAAGTATTGATTTGTGTAATTAGAAAACAAAAGAAAAATCGAAAATTGGATGCAATGCATGGAAATTCTTCAATTGGGCCCTGAAAACGATCAAGCAATACAATGGAATAAGCAATAAAGGAGCAAATCATATACGCAAGCAAAATCTAGGAAAAAGAAAATTATAGTTCGACAACAAATCAAAATAGTTTAGAGTTAAAAAAAAAAACTAATTATCGAGAATTAGGAGGATAATAGAGGCTGCTTTGGTACAGTTGTACAAGTTAAACAAAAAAAAAAAAAAACTAAAATATAGTATCTACATTCAGTACAATTGTTCCCAAGCAGTCATTATTCAATAGGATCTTATTTCATTTCGACTAATTTGCTAGCCTTCAAGTGAAAATAGAGGCTTTGAGATAAACTAGAGCTGTAGGATCTAATAAATACATCCAATAGGATTACAAATCAGATCACGTGATTGAAATTGGTTGTAATTAGTACCTATGTTCTACTCTTACTAAACACTTTTCTTGTATCTTCTTATTGATCAATAGTTCAATACTTATCCACATTTTTAAAAAAAATAAAATTACTGCTTTTTTCCTTATCAATTACATATTACTTTGAAAATGAACCTAGCTGAGCTTATAAATCTCTTAAACGTTAACTGTGACAGAGAAAAAATTATACTATAAACTATGAAGTAGTAAATTTTTTTGTTCTAAAAGAAACAAAGGAAAATGTATAATAATAAAAGGGATGCTGGTTGTTTAAGAGAAGAGCAGAAGGTACAATGTAGTCCCAGAATCCACCAAATCCTAAAGAACCAAACCCCACATGAAAAGGCAAAAAAGAAGATCTAATTAACATATAAATGGAAACAAAAGTAAAATATCCCTGAGAAGATAGGCAGAGAGACACAACGCTTCTGTCCTTTTTGTAGTAAATATATTAGAAGAACCCACAAACTAAAACAAATTTAAAAACAAGAAAACCAATTAATAATACTACCACTAACCACTACTCTTAACTATTTTCTTACATTACACCAAAAAAATAAAAGGATGGGTTCTTCTAATTAAGCAGGGTCATTAAGATTTTTTTTTTCAGTCTACGAAATCCAAATCTTGTCCTACTAAGAGTTTTGTTGAATTAGGATTGTCCGGAGGCAGAGTCAGATGAAGAGAGACTGTTGTTGCTTTCTTGATTTGATCCATTTGGGTTCTTGGTTTTAGAGAGCTTCTGTTTGAGCTCAAAGAGAAGCTGTTGATTCTCTTGATTCAGAATCTGAGCCTTCTTCCTCAATCTTTCGTTCTCTTTTATTATATAACAGTTTTGTATGAACAGCTTCGAGTTTAGCCTCTCCATTTCGATCAACCTTGCTCTGATGATTCTTCTTCAAAAAAAAAAAAAAAAAAAAAATCTGAAATTATGCTAATAGAAAAAAAGGAGAAGATTTGATTTTATAAAGCTCTATGTTATGATTATAGTTGACGTTAAATCATTGCAGCACCACATGGGTTGTGCAGCTTCACACGTTTAATGTGGAATTACAATAAGCAAAAATCATGACCGCATTTATTTCGTTTTCAACCAAAAATGTCAATTTTTCTTTTAATAAAAAACCAAATGATCAAACAGAGGAGCAATCATGCTCTTTTTGGTTGCGAGGATAGAAAAAAAGAAGAAGATAAAGCCACCACAAACAATGGAAACAAAAATAAAGTCATGATGATGCAGTAAGAAGTATAATGATGAAATTTGAAAACGAAAATACAAGAAATAAATTCGAAAACCGACCAAAACAGAGCAGGTACGAGCAAAAAAACAGAGCCAATAATCTTTATCGTAAAATTAAAAGAGGAAAACAAGTTTCTGAAACAGAAAAGAAAATGAAAAAGCAAAGCAAATAGGGTTTATTCGGTTGCCTTTGTCTGAAAGAAAAGGATAAAGCTTTAAGTTTTCCCATCAGTTAAAATTTTGTTATAAGAAAAGATATAAAAAAACAAGAAAATAGTTGTTATGTAAATGATATTCACGTTGCTTGTACGTTAGGGGAGACATATCTAGAGACAGAGAAAGAAAAGAAGTGTAGAGAACAGAAGATGAAAACAAAGGAGAGACAAATGGTGCCATTGAAATAAGATGGTATTGAGGATTCAAAGTTTCTAGAAGGCAGAAGTGAGAGATAGAGAGAGAGATAATACCTTTGGGGAAGAGTGGATTCGGGTAAAGAAGAAGTGAAGTGTGTTTGTTATGTTTGTGAGGGAGAGAGATTGTATGGAAGGTAGAGGGACAAAGAGAACAAAATGAAGTTAGTGTGTCTTATATAGAGCCCCAAAAGCTAGAGAGAGAGATAGAGAGAGAAGGGGACATGCCTCTCTCTCCTGACACAACAATCATGCTTTGTGTTGTGTGTTTATGCTTAGATGGCGGCCGAATTCGCAGCTCAATCTTTTGTTTTGCTTTTTTATAATAATAATTATAATAATTTGTGAGGAAAAGGGAGAAAAGATTTGTGTTGCGTCATGTGAATGATGATCGAAAGAGGAGAGCAGAGAGAAAGAAGAAAACTAGAGGGAAAACTTGTGGGAGTTTACTTTCTTTTGCTCTTTTGAAATTTCTTTGTAGTGTTATTTTTTACTTTGTATCCTCACATTTTGGTTTGGTATGACAACTCTCTATTAAACATTTTTATTGTATCATTCACGTTTGCCGTTTTGAAATCATCATAGACCAACAAATTTATAGATGTCATCGCAATATTTCAAATGAGTTGAATCAACTCCTAAGACTCTTACATTATGTATATGGTCTATTATACATCAATTTACTTAACATATAAATCAAGGTCGTCTATTAGGTTATACATGTAGAGCATTCGAACAAATTTTTAGTAAAAACAAAAAAAAATTACGAAAACTTTTGGGATTTGTATATAAAATTGGGGCATATAATAAATAGAAAAAGACTTTCTGATATAAATATACGTTGGATATAAACTTTGCAGATGATTTTCAAATAAGATGACATCTTCATGAAAAAAAAAAAAAAAGGGTATTTTATACTCTAAAGCCAGATTTAATATGTAGACCGGCTTGGGTTAATACTTTAGATAAAAGGAGGGTAATTTTGTGGTAAGGGAAGGGTGAAATTGTAATTAAAGAAGGGTTGAAACGAGCTATGATGAGGAGGAGGAGGAGGGAGGGGCTATAGGCCGTCGTCCCTTAAAAGATTCGCAATGATGGTTGGGGATTGGTTCGAACCATCATCACTCATTATTCACTTTCAATTTCAGTTTGGACCATTTTCATTACTCTCTTTACTCATTTCATTTCCCGGTTTGGTCAATATTGGTTTAGTCAACACTACTCATCATCAGCCATAATCACACATTTTTTTAGGCTGTTTCGTGGTTGGTTTTCTTCATGACCTTTTTTTTCTTTCATCATCCCTAATTTAGATAAAGATTGAAATAAATATTAGAAAAAAGAGAGAGAAATTATGAAGAAAAAAGTTTTAGGACCTCAAAAACTTAATATAAAAAAACTTATGCAAAAAAAAAAAGTCTCTATATGTGTTATGAATGTGCCACAGCGTGAAAAATCATAGTTTACAAGGTGGATATGTTGTTATTTTATGGAGTCTTTCGTCATTTCATCATCTAGCTGCATTAACCATCGTCCCTCATGGACCTCGTTTGGTTGCATAATAATACGAATTATTGCACTTTCACGTTTATAATTACTTTTTCTTTATCAAATCTTGTAAATTTTTTGGGCTTTTGTTATTTTATTCACGGAATACATTTTGGAAGTCTTATTATTGCATGTTTTCTGAACGGTGAATGATTAACTGATGTGTTATTGTCCTCTTTTCTTTTCTTTTTCCTTTTGCGCTAAGCCATTCCAAATAGACAACGGTTTTGAAATTTCAGAACACAAGCTCGAACCCATAATTATTATGTGTGTCTTGAAATGGAACTATAAATAAATAAAAACGGAAATAAAAATTAAATAGTGGTTGCACTACTTGCTTACATCAAAGGCAATGATAATTAATAAGTAGGAAGGTGTCTGTGAGTCATCCATGTTATTGTTAGGGGAATTGGAAATGACATATATGCCCCCAAATGGTTTGGTTCTCTCTTAGAAATAAATCTCCCCGTTTCTTGTGATATAAACAATTATATGATTAGCCTCAATACTACCTCTTCTCCTTGGAAATTTTTTTTTCCTTATGTTTCCTTTCCCTTTTCCCAAATCTTATGTCTTAATAGTTAGGATAATTGTAATGTGGCAAATTTACGGTTTGTGTAATTGCTGATATAAAGAATGGTAATCAAACTTCAACTAATGTTTTTAGGCTCCTTTCGGAATCTTAGTATTTTTACTTCAAATAAAAACACTAAAGTTCCAAATATATTTACAATAAATTTTAAATTAACAATCATTTGGAGCTTTAGAATTTTTTTTTTAAAATGTTAAAATTAAGCGTAACTATTTAACAAAAAGAATTTTGATTAAATATTTTGTCAGTTGCTAATATATAGTCTGCATTTAGACTCAATATAGTGATATAAACAAGTACTCTGAGGAAAAAAAAAAACAATTATTCTTGTATTTTAGTTAAAATATGCTATACTTAATGGTTGTATGTGTAGGACATGAAAATTTATGGTCTATGCTCTGTTAAATCGTGTGAGTATGAAACTATTTCCCACTTTTAATCATTGTAATTTGTCATCATTTCGTCCCTTTAGAACTTTATTTCTTTTTATGTTTTGGGTCTCCATAAGGTATAAAGTGCGTCCATATTGCATTGCATGGAAACATTATCATAACATCTTCTAATTTTTAAACATACAGCGAATAGTTAATAAAGATTTTGTGGGGGTGGAGCACTAATGATATACATGGGTCTGAAGTATATTAATTAAGAGATATAGGGCTCTTTTTGCAGATGAACCGTATCACAAAGATTAAAATATAATACAAATTAATGATGAGAATCATTTATGAACTTTCTATATATAGTTTCGTATGTGATGCTTAAAAACTGAATTCAAATTTTCATCCGATATACGTATACACTTCTGTAGTTTCATTTTTCATATACAATGCCATTGATACAAAATTTGAATGGAAAATTCTTTAAACTGGGAAAAAAAACTCTAGACAATAGTAGTTGACATATTTGCATTGTTTCAGGAATTTTTAGTTCGATTTTCTTTCAAATATTAGATAATACTAATATCCTTGTAACCCTACACAATTTTGTAGTGTTTTGGTTTTATTGAGAACAAAGCCCACATAAAAGTTGTTATGAAGTATGACAATTGATGTCGTGTTTTTTGCATGGCGTTGTGGAACTTGCCATGCAACAGTTTATGCAGAACAATTCTTTTTTATAACCTAAGTCTATTGTTTTTTTTTCGATCAGTATTTACCTCTCCCTCATATAAAACACGAAATAGGTACAATGACTCAATTTTCTTAAAAACAAATTGTTCAACTAAATAAGCTAGTAAGTGTTTAATTAATTATGATAATTTTTTCTTTATAAAGGGCCTAAAGTGTTTAATTTATTCTTAGAATTATTTATTTTTATATTATTTTTCAACGCATTCCGCTTTCGTCCTGCATTTTGGGGTTCCACTTTGTTTTGTTTTGTCTACACATTTTTTCTGTTAGTGATATTTAATTTCATAAAAGGCAAACAAAAGTTATATAAGATGCAGTAAAATAGGAAAATAAATAAATTAAAGAGGAAGCATCGTGTTCACTTTGCTCTCTGGGTGTTACATTATCGTGCAAACTGTATCTTTTTTTTTGTTAAATAACTGTATCTTTATGCACATGCGCTACTTTATGTTAATACATAAACCAATATGTGTAACCATTTTATCTTTATTTCCATATTATGTGGATTCATAATCTTTCATAGATTTGTCCCACATTGAATATTCTTGTCGATTTAAAATCGCTTAGCGAACCGAACGTCATATCAAACTCAAAATGTATATGAACACTAAAATGAAATGAATACTAAGAAACTAGAAAGTATGACAATTACAGAAAAAAAAATATCATCGAAATCTAGAATCTCTAAAACTGAAAACTTCGTAAACATGACAAACGGCTCTAATTCAGTTCATATTTTTCAAAGCGAATAAAACCTTCAACCCCATATAATCTGAATTTACTAATAAGAAATGAAAATTTAAAATTTAAGAGCATAAATAGTTACCGCAGGAGTAAATGAAAGCCTAAGAGAAGGGAGACAAAATGGGTCTTAGGGTAATCACGAATTAGACGTAGGAGTAGCTGCCAGACTCATAATAAACCCCTTCTTCTGTAGCATCCAATGATGACCAAGCCCCTCTAATTATAAAAAGCCCTTTAATTATTCTCTCTCTTTTCTGCTTTTATTTTTTACTAGTGCAATTATCCACTTTTTTTATTAAAACTAACTTTTTCAGCGTATCTTAAATACCATTTACTAAAAATTAGTGGAAAAGGGGGGAAAAAGAAAAAGAAAACGCCCAT